AGATAAAGAGATTATAGAATGGGACAGAAGGGCGAGCCTGCAGCCTGGTGTAAAGTGCTTGCCTGGAGTAAGGGTTCCCCCCTCTAACACTGCAAGATAAAACGAGACAGGAGCGCAAGGCCAAACATGTGACAATTCCGGGCTTCACTCCAGGCTTTTTCTTTTGCAGCTGGGCACCAAAGAAGGCTATCTCACCAAGCAGGGAGGTCTGGTAAAGGTAAGGGAGTGTTGTTTGTAATCTTGACAGATTTTTTTTTTAAATGGAAAATTATAAACATTTTGAGCCACTTATTTTACCTGAGAAATGACTTGACTGACTGTTCTCTGATGAAGCCCCGTGTAAGTAACCTACAGTTCCTACTAAAAAGGAAGCGCTGTGCTGCATGTTCCATGGAAGGGTCGAGAACAAAGGGGTCGATTAGCTCTCAAGCATTTCTGGTTTTTTGGTTGGTTGGTTAGTTGTTTTTTTTTTTTTTTTTTTTTAGATTTATTTATTTTATGTATATGAGTACAACACTGTCGCTCTCTTCAGACACACCAGAAGAGGGCGTCAGATCCCATTACAGATGATTATGACCCACCCTGTGGTTGCTGAGAATTGAACTCAGGACCTCTGGAAGAGCAGTCAGCGCTCCTAATCGCTGAGCCACCTCTCCAACCCTCTGTTGATTTTTTTTTTTAACAAAAATGTTAAACTTTTATAAAATGTTTACTGAAAGGTAAATCAAACACATCACTGGTGCTTAAAAAAAATTACATTATAAAATACCAAAGTAAACACAGTGTACAAATCCAGGGCACCTGACTGCTCCCTGCCTGCAATTGTCCCTTTAAAGTTCTCTTTAATTTTCATGTGCCATAACCACAGTCGTACAATGTGTCAGCTTTTGTCTATTTTAGGAGTCAGAGTCCTACCCTCTCTCCTGTGAACCAGGCTGTTTGAGTCTAACCTAGTCATGCAGTTATCCATGTCCTTACTAGACTGGATGCTCACTGAAGATGGGAGACATTCATTTTTGTAGCTTATTTATTGATTCATTTGTTTCCGTATTCAGATAGGTTCTCACTCACAGCCCAGGCTGACCTCAAGTGTACAATGTTACTTCTCAACATCCGCAGTGTTAGGATTCCAGGCGTGAACAACTATGCCTGATGAATATTTATTCTGGAATCTTCTATTGTCTCTTTTAACTGGGTATATTGCCAGCTGAGACAGATCAGGGCATTGTTAAGACGTAGTAAGGCAACAGACAGCAGCAATGGTTTCTGCTGTGAGTCCAGGTAAGACTCAGAGTGTCACGTGATCAAAGGATCCTAAATTTCAACTGTACAAGTTTTGGAATAATAATAATGAATAATAATAGATGATGTTACTTTATATGCATTGAATAAATATACATTATATATAAATGAAGTTTCAAGAGTATATATGAAATATATGTAAATTTCTAGTGTGACGATATAGCTCATAGCGGTTCTCAAAGCTGATACCAATTTTTATTATAGTGTTAATGAAGTAGAAACTTAAATGGCTTGTTATAAATCACCTTGAATATTTACAACAGCTGCATCTATTCATGTAAACAAACTAGTGGTATCTCTACTGTGATCTTAGAACACAGACTCATCTATTTTTTATAGCTACTTTGAAACTTTTCTCAAAAGTAATAGCCAAAAAATATTTTAGGCTTATTTTATCTAATCTTTTATATACTTCTAAAATGAAAATAAACTATCAAATTTAGATATTACTTTCTTATATTAAACTTTAATTTTCCCCCCTCAGACCTGGAAAACAAGATGGTTCACTTTGCAAAGGAACGAACTGAAATATTTCAAAGACCAGATGGTGAGAAAGACATCAGCACCCTTCCCACCCTCCACTCCTCCCTCTACCCACTCTCCCACCCCCACCCTCACCCCCACTCCACCACTGCTTAGATGTCAGCTCTGGTGAGGTTCTGGACATCTCTGAAACAAGAGTCTAAAGACCAGAGCTCTTTCAAACTTGTAGTTAGTTATGAGGGGGGGGCCAGGGCACACTGGCCACAGAGTTTGGAGATCAGAGGACAACCGATGGGTTGCATCTCTCCTTTCAATAAGTAGTTAATGGGAATCGAACTCTGGTCATCAGATTCGATTTGACCGCAAGCATCTTTATCACTGAGCCATGTTATCAGCCCACGATCCAGCTCTTGATTCCTAATTGAGTATGACTCCGCTAAACTGAACTTTCTCTCCAGAAGCTACCGACTGATCAGTGCAGCAGCGGCTCTCCTCAGTATATGGCTCCCTCTTCTTGGGACAATGGAATTCTTCCCTTGCCATTCTTGTCTAGGAAACAATTTCCCCTTTTATTAAAAGCATATCCATTGCCCGGGTCTATTTTATCATGCCAACTTAAAATGATTTTCTTTTTTTATATACAAGATTTCTGCAATAGTAGAAGTTCCTAAAAGATGGGGAAAAAATATGACTCTTTTTCCTGTGTTAAAAATCTGTATCTGTCTCATGTAAATTGACAAAACCAGCATCTTTTAAAAAAATATTAAAAAAAAATAATGTGCATGAATATGTGTCAGTGTGTGTGTATGTACACATGAGTATTGGTACTAGGCCAGAGGCATTGAACATTTTGGTGCTAAAATTACAGGCAGTTTTGAATTGCCTGTTGTGGGTGCCGGGAATCGAACACAGATCCTCTGCAAGAGGAGGTCACCCTCTTAACCACTGAACCGTCTGTGTAGCCCAGCAATGTCTTTCCAGTGCTTAATCTGTGAAAGGCTAGTTCCCAAACCCCAGTGTGCGTCTTCCCAGTGTCAGGCTTTGCCATCATCCATTATCTTAATAAAACTGACAGTTGCTTGCAGCAGAAACCTTGTTAAGGGAGGAATGACAGACACGCACATGTGTTTGTTTATGTGACGTAGTTTTGCTTTTTTCAGTCACCAGAACCAATTCGGATCCTAGACCTAACGGAGTGCTCAGCTGTTCAATTTGATTACTCACAGGAACGAGTAAACTGTTTCTGGTAAGATATTTTCATAAAGAAAATGTTTCTAAAAAGTCTTCTAAGCCAAGGAATAAAAAGCTATCTATCCTAACCTGTATACTTCTTGATTGGAGGGACATGGACTTAACCTCTCACGAGGGCATTGCGTGCTAGGAGTGCCTCCAACTGCAGAGGCCTCAATGCTTCATCTAAAGTAGCTTCAACAAAGAGGAAGGCTGGCTAGGTCCAGGCTGTGCACTGCGCAACCAGGACACACTCAGCTGTTTATTCATGTCTTAAGAAACTTTACTACCTTACGATTTTCCTCTCAATTTTAATTACCTTTTCACTGACTCTGGTGATAGATGGTCTGTATTGTTAGGGCCCCATGTGACCCTTGCAACAGAGGAAGTGTTTTGCTGTGCTATGATCAGTATATCTATCAGGATATCAGTATATACATTTCTGGGATGATGTCTTGATAAAAACAGGTGTATCTTTTTTTCCCACCAACTTTGGTTTGAAAGTTTGTCAATCATATCCAGGCTGAAAGATGAAAGCTACTCTCCCTCTAACTCCGAATGCTCAGACCATGCCAGATTTTCTTTATGACTGCTTTTGGTCATCACTTCTTTTCCTAAGCTGGCTGGAAGAAACCTGCAAGGTTACAGCATCTTGAGTGCAGACCTTCCGAGAATAAAGATATTCTATATAGAACTGTAATTTCATTGTTACACAGAGAAAGCGAGCAACTTACAGCATCAGCGAACAACAGACATCTTGTTAACACCTGTCTATGATCTAACCAAGGTCTGATTTTAATAAGTAGCAACTTGAGAGGCAGGTGGACTGTGACAAGGTCCCAGCGTGGGCGTGGTCTCTACCCTTCTTTTGACTCTTCCGAGCTGGCAGCTTCAGATCCAAATGGCTACTTTCACCCCTTTTGTTTTCGCAGACAGGAAGAAAGATGTATCAGTTCTCTCTGGTCCTTTGTATCAGGAAAGCCAGTGTTTCCCTGGAAACGTTGCCCTGTGAGGTTTCTGTTTGACTCACTAGCTGCAACATAAACAACCATAACATAGTCATGACTAGCTTTAACTAATTAAATTTATTGTCCGGGCTTCTGTTTGCAAGAAGAAAAGGGAGACTTGTGTGAAGTTATAGAGCAAATCATGTCTGCCGCAGGGAGTATCAATGACATCCAGGAACTAGTTTACACTCAGCACCATGCACAATGTGTATGATGTCTCCCTCCCCCCCCCCCTCCCTCCCTCCCTCCCTCCCTCCCTCCGTCCTTCCCCCATCTACTCAGCCACCCACCCACAGGCTTGAGAGCTACAAAATGTGCTGCTCCAGCATTAAGGTGAATTTCAGCTCCAGGAAGGAAGACCACGAGTTCAAGCTCACACCCTGCTATGTAGCAAGTTCAAGGCCAGCCTAGGATACATGGGGGGTGGGAGGGGGGACAGAAAGAAGATAGTGTTTGTGTCTTGATTGTAAGGATAGAAATAATGACCAGGATATATTACAGCCAACTTTATCACTCAAATGATTTTGACTAAAATCATTTAGTCAGAGGCAGCAAAATGAAAACTTACCATAATCATATACCTTCCCAATCTTTTGTGATGAAAAAAGATTCTTTTTTTTTTTTAATGGAAGAGACTAACTTAGTGGTAAGGAATGAGTCAAATAGAAAATGAGGTATTCTGTTGTCCCTCCTTAAAGCTCTTCAGTATGTCCTCTTCTCTGCCTGTCCTGTCCTTTGATCCACAGACAGGCTCTGGACCACTGGGGAGCTCAGCTGAGTAAACTTATGTTCCACAGAAGACAAGCACTGCAAAAGGCTGTGGGTGTGCCCCGGACATACACTTCTTCTTTGAAGTCTCCTGGGAGAATATAAATCTCGTGAACAGTAACACAAACTTAAAACCTCCCGGACATTTCTGCAGTTGCTGACAGAATGGCTCTGTCTACGCCAATTCTTCAAAGTTGTCATGCTAATTACGGGAGCCCTCAGCAATCCTTTTCTCCTGGGAGGTGCTTATATATACATCGAGCTCTGCTGACCACCTCACATTGTTTCTTTTGTTTCATCAGCTTAGTGTTTCCATTCAGAACATTTTATCTCTGCGCAAAGACGGGAGTTGAAGCTGATGAATGGATCAAAATACTTCGATGGAAGTTGGTGAGTTATAAAAGTCCCCAGATGTCCATTCTTGATAGCTAACACGTACGTCAAGCATACACCAGTTGTCAGACTCTAAAACCAAAGGGAAGGTAGGATCATGACAGTTTTGTAGAGTAATCTGTGCATCTTCAAGGGGTATCAAAAGGAAGGGGGTGGGTTGTAAGAAGGAAGGGTGGGGTTGTTGCGTCTCACCCTATCCTCAGCCACAGCTGTTGGCAGTACTGGTTATTATCATCTCCTCTGGAAGAGAATATTTGGACTGGAAGTTCTCAGAGAGGGATGCTAATGTATGCTTCAACTGGGAGAGCCTTTTAAATTGTCACGGAGGGAGCTTAGGGAGTAACTCAGTTCCCAGGATAAACTGCACTTTGTGTGGGTATTACCAAATTACCAAATTACCAAAGGTGTGCTATCTTCCTGCTCTTACATTTTCCCCCATACACATTCTAGAGAGCTGCTAGCTGAGGAAGAGCTTTCTAATATTTCCTGTAAGTGTAATAGATCAGTCTGGTGGTTGTTTCTCTCCCGAAATAATGAGACGAGCTACTTATGAAGTAAAGGAGGTTTCTAGTTTTTGAGAGCCAAGGGCAGAGCTCTCCCATGAGCTTCTGAGGCAGAGTTTTCGGTGGGACATAAAGACAGGGCTCATGGAGGATGAAAAGGAGCACATTTCCAGACAGAGATGAAGTGGGGGTATAGTCAAGCTCAGACTTCTAGAACTCCCTTCAGAACAGTTCTCACTTCCAAGGAAGTACACAGTGACCTCAGGACTTCCCAGTAAGTCCCGTCTTTTAAAGGCCCCATCACATCAGTGCCACCACCCTAGGGACCGTCACATCAGTGCCACCACCCTAGGGACCGTCACATCAGTGCCACCACCCTAGGGACCGTCACATCAGTGCCCCCACCCCTTACACAAAGGTCAAACCATAGCATGCTGTCTTGAAACCCGTGGTGTATTCAAAGGCAAGACATCTTTTTCGTAATGTCTCTGTGCATTTGTGTGCATGCGTGTGCATGTGCGTGTGCATGTGTGTGTTCATAGAATCTATAGGCATTGCCTGAAAATGGATATCCTTAAGGCCAGGCTTGTAGCTCAATGGAAGAAACACTCCTCTCCACCAAAATAGGGAGGCTGGTTCTGTTTGTTTGTTTGTTTGTTTGTTTTGTTTTGTCCTTTTTGTTGGAAATCCAAGTTAATACAATGCTCATTTTGAGACTGCTCTTGTGCTGAATCTCAGTGGGGAAATGCTTTGTCATGGCAAATCTGAGCTGAAATGACTCCTATAAAAGTAACGTTGATTCATCTAATGTAATTGTCGTCTTGCAGACTTACTGCCTCTGTCTGCTAACCTAGGCTTCTTGCTGGGTCTAGAATGTTTTCAACCCTCTAAGACTGCTGAATAAACTCACCCCTTTCTAGTTCTTTATGATCTCCGGATGGCTGATTCAACTCAGCTGTTCTGACTCAAACTCCTCTCCACGCTGACTGATTCAATCTGGCTTCTCTGGGCTTCTTAATTGCTCTGCCTGGCCTCAAACTAACTGTAGCAATCTGTTCTAATCTTCTGGCTCATTCTTATTCTCTGGCTCCTCCTTCTGTCTTCACCTGTGTCTAGCTTGTTCTTTCTCTACAACTTGTCTCTGTAAAACTCTCCCAGTAAAGCTGCCTCCTCTCTCTCACTCTGCATGGCTCTCTTAAGTAACTTCCCTTTCCTGTCTCTTCTCATGAGATTTGGGCATATCCTATTCTATCAAATCTTTCTCTGATTCATCACTTTGTCTGCCACTCAATTAGACATCACTTTCAAAGATGGCTGTTTCCTTCTACAAATTCACTTTATCTTCGTTGTGTGGGATTAAAGATGTGTACTAAGGGTATGTCTGTATTCCTGTCAGAGGGATTAAAGGTGTGTGCTGAGGGCTGAGCCACACTGCAACTAGAAACAAGTTTCCCCAGTAAATAACAGCCTCAGGGTCCACAGTGTGATCAGATATCCTGCAACAGGCTCCATTTCTGACTCCATATATTTTGTCATTATCCAAATGACACGTAATTATTGTACACAATTTAAATTAAAAAGCAGTTCAACGTACACGTTCTCCCTGGGCAAATGGATCTTTAACGACAAAACACAGTCCTTCTCTGGTGGTTTCACCTGCCCCTTCCACCTAACAGTGTATTACCAGCAACTTTCTAGTCCACAGCTGCTGCCCGAGTCCTCCTTTTGACTGGGTGGTGGTGTGTCATGCTTTCTCAGAAGTATTAGATAGATTCCCAAATTGTACCTGTTGTCATAGCCCCTCCACAGTGTCTTGAAGGAAAATTTTAAAAAAACAAACATTAAATCTTGGTAGAGGTGTGGCAAACTCCTCAGCATGTCTTACTTACAATCTCAGAGCCAGTATCGTAAAGTGATTCAATAACAGACGTATGTATGTTTTATTACAGTCAAAAATAAGAAAACAGCTGAATCAAGGAGAAGACACCGTCCGATCTCGGTCATTTGTCTTCAAATAGAACTTTCTTGCTCAGGGGCGAGGTTGAATGCTCCACGTGTCTGATCTGTGGTGGACTTCAGAGGAAAGCTCATTAAAGTATTTCCTCTAAAGACAAATCAAAAGTAGATTGTGGTCAGGAGCTGTATGCTGTTTGCTGATTCGTGGAAAACAGCTGGCAGGACCTGGCCATCTGCTCGAGAACACAGAAGCAGCACCCTGCTGATGGCAACTGCCTAACTTCCAGGTGGAGCCACTCTCAGACACAGCGCCAGGCAAGAGCTCATTGGCTGTCCCAGTGGCTTAGGCTTGTTGACTTTAGTTGCCTGGAGTCCCACCCCAAGTTGCTGTCAGCACAACTAAACTTCAGGACCTGCTACAAGCAGCAAGGAAACAGCAGTGCATCAGAGAGCACAGGTGGTGCTTTCAGGAAGTAGGTTAAGATAATAAACACCAAGGACATTCGCTTTTGTTTTGTTTATGTACAAAAACTTCAAATATGGCCGAAGAGATGACTCAGCCATTAAATTGCATCTGTTCTCCAGAGAACCTGAATTCAGTTTCCAGGACCCATATCCTCAGGCTCACAAACACCTGCCTGTAACTTGAGGAGCCAAAACACACACTCACACACAGACACAGACACACACACACACAGACACACACACACACTCACACTCACTCTCCGTTTAAAAGGCTTAGGAATCAGGCTGGAGAGATGGCTTGGTAAGCCATCTTAGCATTTCCCATGCCAAGCTTGACAACCTGAGTTGGGATCCCCAAAACTCACACAAAGATAGAAGGAGAGAAGCAACTTCATAAAGTTGTTCTCTGACCTCTACACCTATGTCCCAGCATGTATGGCCTCACATCACACGCACACGCACACGCACACAAATAATAATACAAATTCAGTGGATCCTTCACGTCTAACGATCAACTGAAAACTACATGTCTTGTGGGTGACTAGATAGGGAAAAGTGCGTGAATGTATAATAAAGGGTAGGAATATTTTAAACAGTAAGGAAATGCACACTGAGAAGTGTGGTAGTGAATGACCTTTAGTTTAATGGTTATTACAAATTATAAGCACTAACTAAAATTCTTTAGCTGCCATTTCTTCAAATTCATTTGGACTTCTCCTTTTCCGAGGATCAGCTGTATGAGATTAGCCCTATGAGGTATCCAAACATTCTTAAAGGACAACTTCTTTGTTTCTAAGGAAGGGAGTAAATCAAATCTTCGTGAAATCCATGATACAGAGCTGTTGTGAACTAGAAGACCAGGACTGAGCTGCAATGACACACTGGTGTTCAGAGGTCAGGAACAGATTTTTATTTACAGAACAGGTCCAATCATTATTGATGTGCTTTTTTTAAAAGAAGGGATACAAATAGGTGATGAGCCGGCAAGTGGCGCAGAGTTGATGGAACTCTGTTCCTGGAGTAGAAAGGGGCAATGGCTTTCACTTTCGTCAGTGTGACCAAGATGCTTGAGCCAACAATCTACAGGAACGAGTCACTTTACTCTGTGGTTTTTTGTTTTTTTTTGGTTTTTTTGTTTTGTTTTGTTTTTTCGAGACAGGGTTTCTTTGTATAGCCCTGGCAGTCCTGGAACTCACTCTGTAGACCAGGCTGGCCTCGAACTCAGAAATCCGTCTGTCTCTGCCTCCCAAGTGCTGGGATTAAAAGTGTGCGCCACCACCGCCCGGGCTACTCTGTGGTTTTAAGACATTTCTGCTTACTGGGTAGGGTGTGGTACAGCTGCTCACATCACAGCAGGCAGGAAGCAGAGCAAGGCAGTCACAGGAAAGGGAGAGGGAAAGACAGAGTCCCCAGGAAAGTATTTTGAGTGGCATGCTTCCATGTTCCACTACCTTCCAATAGTCTGTTCAGATTCTGATCCAGAAATGGATTAACTCATCCGCTAGGTCAGCATGTGCGTCTCTGAGTCTCTGGACTGCCTTCAGGTTCACATCCAGAAGGGTAATGTCTTCCTCTTGGTGTTTCTCAAGATGGTGTGGAGACTCATTCATAGAACTTTGTTAAATATCTTTCCCTGTTGTTTAAACGCCTAAGACTCAGAAATTAAATTTTTGTTTGTTTCAGAGAGTTTTTGTAGCTAGCATGCGGATCAATGGTGGAACATCTGGCCTCAGCGCCGGGGTGGGGGAGGGGATTTACTTGTTATGTTTGTATGGAATAAAGCAACGTCAAGATAAAAGGCACTGGGTCAAGTTTGCAAAATAAGGAGTGACAAAAGGCTCCTCCTTAAAATGTATGGTTTTTATTTTCTTAGAAACAATAATCTTTCAGTACTAAATATTCTATTTACCTTCTGTAAAATTTGTTTATTTATATCCTTTGGTTCTGTTCATTAAATGAAAAGTGCATGATTTTGTTGTACATGTCCAGTTTTTATTATAACATTTTTATTGTTTTTGAAGTAGAGTAAGGTAGGAAAAAACTATTATTAGATGTGAATATTGTTAGTATTATGTCTAAACTCCACCTCCACAGTTATCTGGCTACAGCCAGGTATGCTCCTCCCCACAGTTACCTGGCAACAGCCAGGTAGGCCTGCCCACTGTAAAAGGGGCTGCTTGCCCTCTCTTCTCTCTCTTGATCTCCTGATCTCTTGCCTCTAGCTTCTCTCTGTCCCCTTGCTCCTCTCCCCTTCCCTTCCCCCTCTCTCCACGTATGGCCGGCCTCTATTTCTCCCTCCCTCTCTCTCTCTCTCTCTCTCTCTCTCTCTCTCTCTCTCTCTCTCTCTCTCTCTCTCCCTCCTTCCTTCCCTCCCTCCCTCCCT